CAGCCGCCTGACAGGGAGGCAGTTCTCAGGTGCCTCTAAACTTAAACTTCTGTACTTAAACTCCTTTAGATAGTCCAGGTTCTCCTGTCTTGCTTCTCCCCATAACTCCTCAGCAAATAGTGACTACATTTTAGGGAACCCGAGGAGGAAGAATTGCAGAGGTTTAGGTGATCTACTCCCAGGCAGCCAGCAGAGGGAGCTTTGAGCAAGTTTGTTAACACTATTGATTCTTCCCCCCTTCCCACCAACCCCTGGCAAAGGCTGGGAAGTAGGGGCGGGGTCCTCAGTTTCACAGCCTCGCATCTTGTCCAGCCTTCAGTCTTTTCTCATTGATGGCAAGGGCATCTACTTGTTGAATGCAATAGTTGTCTGTAGTTAGGAGGGTTGTCGTGTGGGAATTTGGCCTCAGGGAACATCTTTGGCAGGATCTGCTGGCTGCGTGTGTGTGCACATGTGCATTTCTATGCTGGTGTCTCTGTATGCTCAGAGAAAAGGCAGAAATGGGTTCTGGGGAGGTAAGATTCATGCTAACTTCTGTGGTCCTCATGGGGAGTACAGCCTCTGATATCTGTAATCTTTGCCTAATCCCCAGCCTTTCCAGCTGATTCCTGATTGTGCTGGTGGGGAAACTGAGGTAGACAGGATCAGGCTTTGCCCCAGGGAGTCAGCTGGCTAAGGTGATAGTTGGATTGGGGAGGGGGTGGTAATGTCACCTGGGGCATCAGTGCTTGATACCACCAGTTACTCCTTGTGAGCCTGGCCTCTCCTTCACTCTCCCAAATGTGTGACCTTGGACCAGCTGTGCCACATTTCTATACCTCAGTATCCCTCCTCTGTAAAGTCGAGATTTTTGGGGTGAGGATGGAATGAGTTGGAACATAAAAAGGCTTTGGGAGAACCAGTTGTATTGTACGAAGGATTTCCGAGCCCTGTTTGGGTTGGGGACAGAGGTGAGGTGGTGGGGGACCTTCTTCCAGCTGGACTCTGGGAGGGGAGAGCAGGTGCAGATTGCCCACAAGTGCAGCATCAGCAAGAAGAGGAGTTTCAGTTTCTATCAAAACAAGTTCTCTGAATTCCCCTACCTCTGTAGGTCCATCGGGCCCTTTCCTCCACCTTGGCCCCCACAGGGAAGTCCAGCCAGGCTCCTAGCCCCCTGTGCCAAACTTCTGGGAGGAGAAGGGCTTTCTGGAGGACAGAAGCGGGCTAGCAAAGTCAGGCAAGCACCTTCTCAGTGACGACTTCCTGTGTTCTTGGCGTGTGCTTGGTATTTTTCCCACCTTATATCATTGAGAAGATCCTACTCTCCCTTCTTAGGGAGGTACTATTACTCTTTGTCCTTGGTTCTGAGGAGCACATTTTCTTCCACATTAATGATCCCCAAACTATGGTGTATTTTATTATCAGTGAGGTGCCTCCTCCTAGCTGTGGTTAAATACATTCATCATACCACCCGTCAGCGCATCTTAGAATTGAGAGAAGGTGATGTTTTATATTTTACAGATAAGTAAAGAAGGTCATACCTTGCCCACACTTAATGACCCTGTTTTTGTGCAGCCTGTATTATTGATTTGACATTAACTTGGTTGCTAAAGATTTGCAGTATGGGCAAGGAAGGTGGGTCTTTGGCTCTTTGGCATCAGTAAAGGTAGAGAGCCAGTCCTGCCTACACAATGGACAGCCTAGACCCCAGGTTTGGGGCTTTCCTCTGGCTGAGGAAGTACAACAGAAATGAGGAACGGCTTAATCAGTGGTTCCAATGACATTTTGGATTACTTGTGGATGGCTAGCTACTTGAAAAGTCACCATCCTCCTCATGACACATGGAGCCCTGTTTTTTGAACATCTAGTATGCCTCAGATGTTTGGCAAGTGTCCCCTGATAGCACCCTATGAGAGGAACAAGAGTTATTCTCCCTACTTTATGGATGAGGACTTTGCAGCCCAGAGAGGTTAAGGGCTTGTCCATTGCCACACAGCTAGGAGGCAGCAGAGCCTTTCTGCCAGGAAAGGGGTTAATGGCAGGGAAATGGGAGACCCTCATGGGGTTCTTCCCCAGCTCCCTTCCCTGTCCCACAGTCTCTCTTTCCCATTTTTTTTTTTTGGCACCCAGCATCTAGCCCAGGTAGATCCCTCAAGCCTAGAAATGCCGCTTGATCCTTCCCTAGGAACAGCTCAGCCACCTCCCTGAGCCTGGCAGGCTGGCCCCTATTTAACCCTTTCACTCCCATCTTAGTTCCTGTTTACTACAGCTGCCCGCAGCACTGTGTCTTCGGCACCCAAGCCTATTCTACAGAAATAGCTCGTCAAGCAGCTCTGGCAGGCAGGCAGCTGCAATAGTTCTGTGGTCCTGGCTTCTAAGAAAGGCAGCAGCAGGGGGCCCCCAGCCTGTGTACAGGGCATGTGACTTGCTGGAAGTGCCGCTGGTTGTGGGGGGATGGAGAGTGTGACCGCAGAACCCACATCCTTGTTTACATCGGTGATGGGGCTACCCCTTCCCGCCTTCACAACCCCCACGCCTCCTTGCCCTCAGGTCCCTTGGGCCCCATTTTCTATCTCAGAGCAGCCTTTTTGTCCTTATCTCACATAACCCTCCAGGGAGGGAAGGGGAGGGCAGGGAAGGCATTCTGGCAATTCTTCACAGTAGACTGGCTATCATGGAAGAACTCTGTTTGCGGTGTTTCCTGCAAGACCTGACCCTGACCCAGTGCCCCAGGGAGATCCCATTAGAGCATTGGTCTTCCAGGGATACACAGGGAAATTCCCTCTTTGTCTTAGCCAGTGGAGGTCAGGTGTGCCTTGTCTTCAAGCCCACCTTAATATCCCAGGGAGAAAGAAGGCTCCCCTACTATGGTGAAGGGGACTCTGATGTACTGAGTGACTGCTCTGTCTCAAGCTCAGTGCTGGTCACATTACACCCATTATTTCAGTTTCACAAGAAGGCCTGCCAGGGAGTTATCCAGCTTGTTCCTGTTTTACGCATGAGGCAGGTGAGGCTCAGAATACTTGGATCACCTGCCTCTGGTCATTTAGCTCACTAGTACCTAGCAGAACTGGGCTTAGAGCCCAGCTGTTTTTCTTCTTTTTATTCCTTTTATTTTTAACCTACGAAGAGCATCCTGACTCTGGGAAGTCAGGAAAACTGAATTCTAGAGTTGAATTTGTCATAGACTGACTTTTTGTGTGAACTTGGTCAAGCCACAAATCCTCCAAGCCTCAGTTTCCTCATGTGAAGAGTGAAGGGATGTGTGTGGAATTGATAGTGCTCAAGGCCACTTATGGAACTTCAAATCTGTATTGAGTCGTCTGAGTGGCTGGCCAAACCCTAATCAGTCATCTGTTCAGGAGGCCTGTGGTTGTGTCCCTCTCATTTGTACTCTCTTGTTGTTAAAGACTGTCCCTGCCTGCCTCTTTTTTTCGTGACCCTATTCCAGCCCACAAGGCCAAGAACTCTCCAGGCCCTGGGATAGAAAAGGAAGTTTCCCTGGCCCCCAGCCCTTCACCCTAAGGATGACTCAGAACTCTTTTGTCTGGTGGCAGCTCTGATCCCAGCTCTCTTTTCTTCTGCCCCCACAGCTGACCAGGTGTATGGAGACCAGGACATGCATGAAGTTGTACGAAAGCACTGTATGGACTATCTGGTGAGACTTTGCAGAGACCTTGGGGTGGGGGCAGAGTGGGAAGATCTTCTCCCTACACAAATCTTGACCTTCTGATCTATTCTGCAGATGAAGAATGCTGACTATTTCTCCAACTATGTCACAGAAGACTTTACCACCTACATCAACCGGAAACGAAAAAACAACTGCCATGGCAACCACATTGAGATGCAGGCCATGGCAGAGATGTACAACAGGCCTGTGGAGGTGTACCAGTACAGCACAGGTACTTCTGTGGTGGGTAGGTGAGCAACCAATCGTGTCTGGTCCGAGCCTGCTCTGTCTGGCCCACTGTGGATGCTCCTTCCTTCTTTTTCTCTGTAGAACCCATCAACACATTCCATGGGATCCATCAAAATGAGGATGAACCCATCCGTGTCAGCTACCATCGGAATATCCACTACAATTCAGTGGTGAATCCCAACAAGGCCACCATTGGTGTAGGGCTGGGCCTGCCTTCATTCAAACCAGGGGTAAGTGGGTCCTCGTGCCTAGGATGGCTGTTGGATTTAGAGGCAAGAAACCTTTGTTAGGGTCTCAGTTCTACCCCTAGTCCACAAAAATGTCCTGCCTCCTCTCTGAGTTGCCCCTGAGGTCTCATCTCTATAAAATTAGGGAGCCACCCAATGTGGTCTCTTAGGGCTCATTCTGTGGTCTCAGTTTGCCTGTCAGAGCTGGCCATCCATCATTTGTGCCTGTTGAGGATTGGCATTTTAGGATATGGAATCACATTTGAGAACTATGAGCCTAGGGCTCAATCTGGGTGTCTTGGCACCCACATGGATCTTCCTCTGAAATTCAGCAGTTAAGACAGCTGTGGTCACAGAGATTTGGAGTACAGACCTGGCCCCACCACTTATTGGCTGTGGGACCTAGGGCAGTACACGCAAGTAACCTGGGCTGGCAGCTCAGCTGATATAGAAAGTGCCTAGTGCTGGGCCTAGTACCTAGTAGGTGCTCAGAAGGTGGCAGTACATTTTTCCAGCACACTGGCAGATTCTCATTCTCGCTCATAAACAGTTGTCTGCTTGGGGGTTTTGATATCTTCTATTCAGGTTTCACTTCCCACAAACAGAAAGTGCTCCTGTCTCATTATAGGAAACACACACCCTAACACCAACATAGGGTTTTGTTTTTTAAATAAACTTTTAGAACAGTTTTAGATTTACAGAATTATTACGATTAGAGAATTCCCATATACCCCACTATGATTAACATCTTATTAGCATAGTACATTTGTCATAATTAATGAGCCAATATTGATATGTTAACCAAAAACCATACTTTATTCAAATTGCCTCAGTTTTTCCCTAATGATCTTATCTGTTCCAGGATCCCATCCAGGACCATATTACATTTAGTTGTCGTGTCTCATTTGGCTCCTCTTGGTTGTGACAGTTTCTCCGAATTTCCTTGTTTCTGTTTATAGACTATAATTTTGCCTTTTCTAGAACGTCATATAATTGGAATCATAACAGTATGTAGTTTTTTTCAGAGTGGCTTCTTTCATATAACACTATACATTTAAGATTCATCCATGACTTTTTGTGGTTTGATAAGTTGTTTCTGTTCATTTTCCTTTTTTAAAAAATGTGAACACTTTTAAGTTTTTTAATTTATAGACTTAATTGTTTAGAACAATTTTAGGTTTACAAAAAAATTGAGAAGATAGTACAGAGTTCCCATATAGCCTCCTCCCCCCCCACACAGTTTCTCTATTATTAACGTATCGGATGACCATGATACATTTGTTACAATATATGAACCAATATTGATACATTATTATTAACTAAAGTCATCATGTCTCTTTAGGCTTCCTTGTCTGACGGTTTCTCACACTTTCATGTTTTTGATGACCTTGGCAGTTTTGAGGAGTATTGGTCAGGTATACTGTAGGATATTTCTCTTTTGGAATTTGTCTGATGTTTTTCTCATGATTAGACTGGGGTTATGGGTTGTAGAGAGGAAGATCACAGTGGTAAAGTGCCATTCTCATTACATATCAGCAATATATATTATGAACATGACTTATGACTTGCTGTTGACCTTGATCACCTAAGTAGTACTTGTCAAGTTTTCTCCTCTGTAAAATCACTCTTTTCCCCCACCCTCTTTTCCATATTGAAAGGAAGTCATTATGAACTGATATACAGTCCACACTTAAGAAATAGGGGTTATGCTCCATCTCCTGGAGGGCAGAATATCTGCATAAATTTTTTGGAATTCTTCCTGCAAGGGAGATTTGTCTCATCCCCCATTTATTCATCATTTATTTATATCAATATGGACTCATGGATATTTATTTATTTTGGGTTATAATCCAATGCTATTTTTGTTTTGATGCTCAAATTGTTTTGGTTTTGCCTATTGAAAGCTCTCTTGGTTGGTTCCTGTGTCTCTTTGACATACCCCCATTATTGTGGTGGTGTTTTATGTTTTTTAATTTTTGTTTTTGGGTTTTTATTTTTTTGTCCTTGGTTTTTATTTTTGTTGTTGTTTTGAGCACTTCCTTACTTTCTTGCACTGAAGGTGTTCTAGGCTTGTCTTGTATATTTCCTATCCTGGCCCTAGAACAAGCCATTTCTCCAAGGAACCCTGGTTCCATTTATTGGAGAATATTATTAGAAACCAAGATCTGGGTGCTGAATGTGTTCCTTGGTACAGGAGTGTTCTTGCTCTTAGGCCCTTTCAGCTGACAGAGTAAGGAGATGTATATGTGTATACTAACATATGTGTATACACATATCTAGAAATATTTCTGTATGTAACCATCCGTATCTATGAAGCTACAATTCTTACCGATATCTCCAGCGGATAGGTACTGCGTTGTTGTTTTAATTTGCAATTTTCTAATGACAAATGGTCATTGAGCATCTTTTCATACACATATTTGTCATCCGTATATCTTCTTTGATGAAATTGTGTTTAGATTTTTTTTGGGCCTATTTTTAACTTGTTCTAACAGTTTTATATACTTTTTGGACTATTATCCATAGGGAAAAAAATTATATTTTATATCATTTCATGCATACACACATTGGTGTACAGTGTGTATATGTGCATTAAAATGATGTTAGAGAGTTTTGCTGAACAATACTTACATTTATTCCCTGGGATATGTGCTGATATTTTTTATTATTTTGTTTTTTAAAATGTTGTTGTATCTCACAGTCTGATAAAGAGTACTCATACAGTGTCCCACAACTCATAGCACCTCACATGCTGATACTATCCCCTCGTCCCCTTAAATACCTGACTGCTCTCTCTACCCTGTGCACACACAACTAACTTCTCAGGTGATCTTTTTCTCCTTGTCCCATCTGGACATAGGTGAGGAAGGCCTCAGCATTATGAAATTGAGCCATCATTGGGTGAAGCTTCTTTAAATTCCAGTCTAGGCTAGAAGGCATTTGGCTGCCCCAGACTTAGTACTTCAGTTGAGGTGTCTTGGGGTTGGGAGCAGGGCTTCTGAGTGTAGGAGTTTGGAACAATTAGTCCCACTCAAGTCTGCCTTACTCTAGTCCCTGATGAATAGGCAGCCTGCCCAGGGGGGTGCTTAGTAAGAGTTCCTGCCTTCCTGTCTCCTCTCTTCTGGGCCTGTGGGTCCACCTCCCTGAGCCAGTTTTGGCTCTTAGCCAGAGTTTAGAGTGTCACTCCACGTACCTGATTTCCCCTTTGCAGTTTGCAGAGCAGTCCCTGATGAAGAATGCCATAAAAACATCAGAGGAGTCGTGGATTGAACAGCAGATGCTGGAAGACAAAAAGCGGGCCACAGACTGGGAGGCCACGAATGAGGCCATTGAGGAGCAGGTGGCTCGGGAATCCTACCTACAGTGGCTGCGGGATCAGGAAAAACAGGCCCGCCAGGTCCGCGGCACCAGCCAGGTGGGTCCTGGGCTCTGTCACTGCCCTGGCCAAGAACCCATTACTTCCCATCCTCTGCCCCCAAACAGGCAGAAAAAGATTAAGTAGTTTTGACATCTGGGAGAAAAGGAAGCTCCCAGCCCTGTCTTTGCTTCATCTTGGCCGTATAGTCTTGGCATTGTGCAGAAAAAGCTCCTAAGGAATAAGGGAGGGCATCATTGGTGGTGACATGCGAGATCGATGGATAGTTTCAGAGGGACAAACTTTTGAATGTCCTTGGGTGCCAGGCTTTGTGCTGAGGATATAAAATCAGGTCCAGTCCACTCCACCCTCAATAGTCCCTTTTCTGTTGAAGGAGACAGATGCATCAGTGGGGCCCTTAACCCTGGATTGGAGGCCAATGGAGAATGGGGGCTCTGGTTAGTCTTCATACAGGAAGACTGAAAATTTTAGGGCAGGGAGCAAGCAGGACATACAGACATTTGAAGAATCACAAGTTTAGAATGATTATAGATGTTGGCAGAGCCAAGTAATTCATTCAGCAAATATTTATTGTAGGTTTGTGCCTTGCACTGTTCTAGGTGTACAAAGGTACGTTGGTGAGTGAGGCAAGCCCAGATCGTTGTCCTTGTGATGCTTACATTTTTGCAGAGTGGAGTAAAATAAAATAATAAGCATAATAAATTAGTTGAGAGGTAGTATGATTGAAAAACATATAGAGCAGGGTAAAGGGGCGGGCGGGGGGCGATAAATAAGGCCAAGTGGGGCTGGGAGTGCACGATATTAAATAGCATGGACAGGCCTAAATAGTAGGCCTCAGAACAGGTGAAATTTGAGCAAAAGCTTGCTAAAGTGAGAGACTTAGCTAAGTGCTTATGCCAGGGCAGGCAGAGGACCAACTAGAGCAAAGGCCTTGAGGTAGAGCACACTTGGTGGGATTCAGGAGCGGCCAGAGGCCAGTGTTTCTGAACAGAATGTTTTAGATGAAGTTAGAGAGGCAGTGGGGCCAGATTGGGAATGGGCCTGTGGGCCATGGTGAGAACTTTGGCTTTTACTCTGAGTGAGGCAGAAGCCATGGAGGGTTGTGAGCAGGGAAGGGACAGGATCTGACTTAGGTTTTAACAGGATCTCCCTGACTGCTGAGTGTAGAATGGAGTGGGAGCGGGGCAAGGGTAGAACAGGAGACTAGAGAGGAGGAGGTTGCTACAGTAGTCCAACTCACTGCTGATGGCATAAGCAAGGGAGGGGGAGAGTTGGGTGTGGACTGTGGATCTATTATAAAGGTGGAGGTAACAGGTTTCCTGTCAGATTAGCTGTGAGGGGGGTTAAGGAGTTTCTCTTCGTCCTGTGGTCTGTCGTGTGACTGGAAGTGATGGTGGCCTATGTAGAAGCTACATCACAGCCAGGATTCTAGGAGGGAGCGAGCCCTCAGGGATGGGGCAGAGGAAGGTCACAACTGGCTTACCTCCTCCTTCCCCATTGTAGCCCCGGAAAGCCAGCGCCACGTGCAGTTCCGCCACAGCAGCCGCCTCCAGTGGCCTAGAGGAGTGGACTAGCCGGTCCCCACGGCAGCGGAGTTCAGCCTCATCACCTGAGCACCCCGAGCTGCATGCCGAGCTGGGCATCACGCCCTCTTCCCCAGGCACTGTCTTAGCTCTTGCCAAACCTCCTTCACCTAGTGCACCAGGTCAGTGACTTGCTGACAGAGTATACAGGGCTTAGGAGGTGCTGTCTTGGTCCTGGGCCCTGCCTCTGACTGTCCATCTGCCCCAGGTACAAGCAGCCAGTTCTCAGCAGGGGCCGACCGGGCCACTTCCCCCCTTGTGTCCCTCTACCCTGCTCTGGAGTGCCGGGCCCTCATTCAGCAGATGTCCCCCTCTGCCTTCGGTAAGCTTCCTCTGTTTAAGGTCCAGGGGCCAACCGGGAGCTGGGGAGAGAAGCAGCAGTAAGTCCTGAGAGGGGGCCTCTGGAGCCTCTGGCCATCTTCCCTTTCAGGTCAAAGGGATCTGTCCCAAAGGGGTTCTGAGTGGGGTTTTGTAGACTAAGAAGGGGCCTTCTTAAAGATATGGCCTGGATGGGATTTTTCCAGAGCCAGGGATCAGTGAAGGGCAAGGAGAGGGCAGGCTGAGGGTACTCCATCATCCTTTTTCCCTTCTTCTTACCTAAGCAGGTCTGAACGACTGGGATGATGATGAAATCCTAGCATCGGTGCTGGCAGTGTCACAACAGGAATACCTAGACAGTATGAAGAAAAATAAAGTGCACAGAGATCCACCCCCAGACAAGAGTTGATGGAGACCCAGAGACTGGAGACCATCTCCCAACTCCCACCACTCCTGCCCTCCGGTGCCACCCTACCTTCTTTGACTTTCTTCCCTCTAGCTGTCTTCCTCCTACTCTATCTCCCTTCCTTATCCTTTTCCCCACTTTTCTCTTGCTGGCCCACCCCTGCGCTCCCTCTCATCGCTGCCACCACCACTATCACCTGTCTCTTCGCCAGCTGACGTGCCCTGTTGCCCCCTGCACAGCACCATCCCTGCATTCCACAGGGGACTTGGGCAAGGGTGCCGAAGGTAGGCAAGAGGCACACAGACAAACCAACTGGCAGCCAGGCAGCCCCTGAGGAGAGACATTCAGAGGAAAGCCTCCCTGATCCCCATTCCTTCCAAGATCAGAAAGAAACTTGTCACCCCACCTGCACAATAATGCCAGGGAGATGGGAGGAAGAAGTGGGGGATTCCCCTTCCCAGTACCCCAAAAATGTCTGAGCCTCCAATGTTGATTTTTTTTCTTTATTAAAATGTACTTTTATCTTATAAAGTCAACCAATCCAAAATGACATAGACAACAGCATTGGCTCTATGAAGGCGGCATCTCTCTGGTTTGGGGGCAGGCAAGCCATGGGACACAGAGATGTGGTTGCTGTCTCTGGCCTTCAGCTCTGTGGAGGTGGGCAGGGTCTGGAGTTGGAGCCAGGGCCGGGTATGGGGGCAGGGAGGGCAGGTGTCATGCGGGCTTTGGACAATGAGACTGACCTCACTGCATTCCTTTCGCTTCCACCACCACCACCACCACCACCACCACCACCACCACCACCATC